CTCAGCAGCCGCTACCACCCCTACTCCAAGAGCCCGCTTCCCACGCCCGGCGCCCCCGTGCCGGTGCCCGCCGCCACCGGACCCTACTACTCCCCCTACGCCCTCTACGGACAGAGACTGACCACCGCCTCGGCGCTGGGGTATCAGTGAGGGCGGCCGGGAGGGCGAGTGAGGGAGAGGAAGGAGCTAGGGGAGGGGAGGAGCCCAGGGAAGGGCGGGATCACGGCCCAGGCTGCTGACACCCGCGCGTGGGGAGGACTCGGGCCACGAAAGGAAATAAATATATACCGTATCTACCCGACAGCAGCGACCGAGACCCGGTGGGACACTCCCTTTCTCCCCACTCTCACCTCCCCACCCAAACTTTATAAAAGTTGAAAAAATATCGTTTGACTTTTTATAGAAAAAGAAGGAAAAAATAATTGAGAAAGTGTTCATCTGAGGACTGCATCGGTGGACACTGGTATTTATTTATGTTAGCTCCAAGCGGACCCGTGGTTCAAAAGTGCATTATTTAGTTTGAGCTCTGTAGGTAAAAAGGAGGAGGGAAAAAATTTAAAACTTGAGGGTAAAAATGTGGAAAACAAACCCTCCCATCCCTTGTAGATTATAAATAAAAGCAAAACCGCCACAGAACTAGAGGTCTTCTCTTTAATGTTACTTTAAAATTGCTATGATTGTATTGTACGTTATTTAATGTCTGATTGAAACACAAATTTACATGCATGTTTGTTACAAAAAATGAAAAAGTCACAATTTGTCAGCTCTGATTTAAAATTGCAATTATTTTTAAGGTGTATACCATCGAAGAGAATGGGTATTTTTTTGTATGTATTCTGGAAGAAAACAAAAAAAAGGAAAAAAAATTCTATTCCAAAACCTCATTTGCCTTATTTTGTTCTTTAAAAGGAACACTTAACTATTTTTAATTTTTAAGTCTACCCGCTGAGAAGGGGACAAGGTTTACGTCATGTACTAAAATAATAGACAATGTATCGCTTTAAAGATTAAAATTCCGTATATTTGATGTATTAAAGGGTTTTACTTCTTCTTACCTTTTTTATTTTTTGGTTAAAGAGAGCATGGCAGTTTCGGCCGCAGTGGGTTCCGGGGCCTCACTGCTACTCCTTCTTCCCGGGACCGTGGCCGAATTTCCGATCGCTTTGTTGTGATTTTCTGGGAGGCAAAGGCGTCGGAAGGGGCGACCAGCCACGAAGTTGGCCTTGGGGAACATAATTTTAGAGGATATCTCACTATTTGGAAAGATAGTGTCCCCTGCTATCAATCATTTCGTTTTTATTTCAATCTTCTCGTGGCAGCTGGCTTTTTAAAAGTGAAAGGGGGTGTGTGGCGGGGAACAGGGTTTTTGTTAAATTTCCCTCCTGAGCTTTTTGGGTGTTTGGGTTTCGTTTTGTGCAGAGTGGAGCAGGCTGGGACTAGCCGGCTGGGCCTGGGCCGGGGCCTCGGGGACGTGGGGCTGCGCGCTGCCCCTGCGTTGGCTTCCAAGCCTCCCCTGCCCACGGCAGGCAAGCCGAATACACTGGGAGGCGGAGGGGCGCTAGGGAAACCTGTGTCCCGGGCTGGGAAGGGAACGCCGGGACCCTTTGGTCCCTCGGGGAGAGTGTGTCCTCTTTTCTTCTTCTGGCTGCCCACGGCCTTCTAAACGCTTCCCCTCCCCTAACCCACGCCCCCACCCCTACCGCCGGCTCCTTCCTCCCTCCAGAGTCGGGACCCGGGGCAGGTTGGCGCCACTGCTGCTTTTCCCCGTCCGGGTGGCTCTGCGGCAGGCGCTCTATTCCAGTCTGCGCCGCAGGAGAGCGCGCCCGGCCAGGGACCCGGCAAGCCCCTTCAAGTGCGGCCCCAAGAGCGTCCCGGCGCCCAGGCCCGGCCTCTCTGGGGCTATCAGGTGGGCACCTAAGGCTCTGCTCTGCAGAACCGCGGCGGGAGTCTGGGTCCGGGCGCAGCTCCCAGCTCTCCCCAACTTGGGCCGCAGGACAGAGCTGCCCGAAGCGCCGAAGGAAGCACGCAGAAAAGAGTCCCAGTCCCTTTTGCGGGGAGGGGGCCCGAGACCCAGCGCCCCCTCCCAGACGCTCCAAGCCTGGGCGCTAGCCCTGGTCCTCCAGCTGGTTGGGAGCTCTGAGCCCAGAGCTCCCTTTCCGGGGATTCCGGGACCATGGAGTCCGGGCTGTGAGAGCGCACCCCAAACTCCCCGCTCCTAGGGGTCAGGCTCTTCTGGGTTCTCTGAGACTCGGGATCCCCTCGGCGCTCAGGTACCCCCGTTGCCTCTGGGGACTCACGGCCGCGCGGAGTCAGCCTTTGGCCTCTCGCCTGCGTCGCACAGCCCGCCGCCCCTGCCGCCATTTGCACCGGGGTTGGTGACTTTGAGATTTTCCACCCTCCTCCTAGGGCCAGCCTCATGGCTGCAGGGCCTTTACCCGGGTTGCATGCAAAGCCACCCTCAGCGACCTCCCGGATGCTGCGGGGAGCGCGCGTGCTGCTGCCTGGAACTGACTTGGTGGGGACTCTGGCTCTGCTGCCGTCTCTGCACCCCCGACCCTGATGTCCGGACGTTGCGAGACCCTGGGAAACGGAGCTGGCGTGGAAGAGGACCCCTGGCCCGCAGCGTCCTCAGACGCCGCAGCCCAGCTCCCACTCTGGTCCCGCCGAGAGAAGCTGGGCTGGGCCTGGTTCCTTGAGAATCCTGGCCGGAGGGCTTGTCAGTCAACCCGGCCTCTCGGACAGACATCCCGCGCCCTGCAGGTGGGAGAGCGGGCGATCGTAGCGGTGCTGCAGCAGGGGTCCCACGCTCCAGTGCCCACGGCTGGGGACCTGAAAGCCAGGCATCTACCACCCTCTCACCAGCAGCAGCCACTCGCTCCTGGCCACTGCGACCCACAAGCTGTGCCTCTTTTCCCTAGCGTCTTCGGACAGGGGTCCCTGAGCCACCACACCTTGCCGGCTGGGAAGGACCTAGACATTCCCGCACCCTGGGATTCAGGCCTGGGACCGGCAGGGAGACGAACCCGGGACGTTCGTGCCTTCATGCTTCTTGGTATTTTATCAACACAACCCAAAACCAACGTCCCTTAAAAGTTTGATGAGAACCCTTCCGGGAGCAGCTACACAGAGGCACAGCGTTCCGGTGCTGGGGCGCCCGGGGGTGAGGACAGAAAGGATTCCCCGACGTGTTGGACGGATCCGAGTCACCCCGGGCGCCCGGTAAGTGAAGGGTGGGTGCCAGTATGTGCTGCGCGTCCAGGCCGAGGTGCGAGCCTCCTCGGAGGGACAAATGCCCCTCCCCAATGCGCGCCCCACGACTCTCTCCAGCTTTCTCCTGAGCAGCCGCGGGATCCCAGGCGTGCAGGCGGGCGGCTGGAGCCCGGGCGGAGCGCCACGTGTCCACCAGGCGGCGCTGCAGAGCCCGGCGGAGCAGGAAGGAGCCCTGCAACCCCAGCCAGCGCGCTGGCAGCCGGCTGAGTGGGCATCCCGAGGCCCCGAGCTTCCACTTTCGCGTGGCTTTAGAAGCAGTGTCCAGGAGGCCCCTCCCTGTGGCTCCTCGCCTCTTTTCTCCTGCTGCGAACCGTCTTCCCTGCTCTTCTCCACCCTCTCTGGCTTCTGCCCTTGTTTCCTCCTGGCTCTCTCTTCCTGTCCAGAGGACTGACCCAGGTGTCAGTCCCTTCCCAACCTGGGGAGCTCCCACCCTCAAGGCTCTGACACGTTACCTTGTCTGCCATGCTGAAGCAGTCCCCACACAGGCCTGCATTCATTCACTCCCTCCTTCACTGATTATTTCCTAACGCCTACCCCTTGCCAAGGGCTTTACTCATTCGTGACAGTTTGAGAAACAGAGGCTAAGTCCTGGAGACCAGTGGCAGAGCTGGTGGATAAAGTTCAGGCCTTTCCCCCACCATCCAATCTTATCCCCCTACGTGTCCCTCTGGTGGTGACACTGAGTGACCCTGGTGTCCTGGTGCTGGGTAACTCCGCATATATGCAAATCAGGGAGGTGTGCCTTGGAGAGAGCTGCCGAAGAAGGACCAGCTTCTGAAATCTGCCACAAGCCTGTGGACCTCTGAGTAAGCACAACTAACACAAATGCGGATGCCTGTCAACACACTCACATGTTTGCACACTTTCACTCCTACTTCCACAGAAGCCACACCCCTGCTCTGACTCTGGCACACCTGGTTACGTGTGGCACACACTTATGCTCCGACAGCAGACAGAAGAAAGAAAGATGTGGGCTTGGTCTTTAAGCAGTGAGGAAAGGCAGATAAAAAAGCCTCACTAGATGATGAACTTCTCGTGCTTTAGAAAACTCATAAAGCTGGAGCTCCAGCGGCGCAATCGGTTAGCGCATAGTACTTCCGCAGAAAACTCGCGAAAGTTGCCCAGAAGGTGGGACCCATCCCCTGCCAGGTCATCTGCTGGCCTCTGCTGCACATATTGTCTTAGGGTTCCTCACGGAATGCGGCTAGCGGCCTGGTGGTGCTTGGAGTGACTGGAAAACCTAGGCTGACCTGCTCACATCTGTCAGGGGCTATGCCCAACCCATGGGATCCTATATCATCCCACTTAAACTTCACAACAGTTCCATGAGGTCATTAGAATCTTCACCCCATGATGAGACTTAATACCTGGGTGATGAAATAACCTGTACAACACACCTCCATGACACAAGTTGACCATGTAACAAACCTGCACTTGTACCCCTGAACTGAAAATCATCTTCACCTCGCTTTTCAGATGAGGAAACAGGCTCAGCAGGGGAAAGACACTGGTTTAAGGTCACACAGCTAGTGAGAGAGGGCTATAAGCAGGGATTCTCACCTTGGCTGCTCTTGCCTGATGAAGTTTTAAAACAGAACAGTACCTGGGAACCAGAGATGCTGTTCCAGCTAGGGGAGGGTGTGGTGAACATAGCTGGGTTTTCAAAAGGTTTTTGGTGTTATTGTTATTATTTTATTTTTTAACGGAGATTTTCTTTTTTCTTTTTCTTTTTTAATTTAATTTTATTTTTTTGAGACAGAGTCTCGCTCTGTCGCCCAGGCTGGAGTGCAGTGGCTTGATCTCAGCTCATTGCAACCTCCGTCTCCCGGGTTCAAGTAATTCTCCCACCTCAGTCTCCTGAGTAGCTGAAATTACAGGCATGCACCACCATGCCCAGCTAAATTTTTTGTATTTTTAGTAGAGACAGGGTTTCACCGTGTTGGTCTCAAACTCCTGACCTCAAGTGATCCGCCCACCTCAGCCTCTTAAAGTGCTGGGATTACAGGCGTGAGCCACTGTGCCCAGTCTATTTATTAATGGAGATTTTCAAACACAGCAGTAGAATGAGTGGTGTAATCGACCCCCATAAACCCATCACCCAGCCTCAACAATGAGCAGCTCATGGGCAACCTTATTTCCTCGCTACCCCCTCCAACTCTATTTTGAAACAATAAAGACACCATTTCACCTCCTCAGTGCCTTTCACTTCCATCTATGGTTTCAACCTATGCTTGGACTGGCTCCCAATCCAGGGCTCATTCCGCTGCCCTACCTGGGTTGAGGCTCGGTGAGCTAAAGCATATTGCTCTCCAGTTCATGCACAGTATAGCTGGATTTGAACCTACTTCTATCAGACCTGGAAGCCAAGCACTTAATCCTACCTGGTGCTGGGAGTCCCCAGAAGTTCCAAGGGTATTAAGGCCTCTGTGCCCAGTGTGACCCAGAGTGAGCCCAGGGGATATCTGGGCTATTAAAAGACTTGAGCCCTGGCTAGGAAATGCCTTAGTTGGGACACTCACAGTACAACAGATATTCCTAGAGTGAGACCAGCATAAAGCCACATGGTGCAGTGGAAAAAGCACAGATTTAGGTTCAGTCTAACCTAACTTTTAGCTCCACCACTGACTCATATGTAAGGGTAAGTCTCTCTTGACCTCAGTTTTCACATCTATGAAATAGGGACATTGATACCAAACTAATAGCACTATAGTGAGGCTCAAATTAAGTAATAAATTTGAAAATGGCCAACCTCCTGCCTATTTCATA